CGCCTGAGCTGCGTGAAAGGGCCCTGGGCACCCTCCAGCAGAGCATCAAATCCACGTTCTCAGCTAGCAGGTTTTATCTACCGAGCAGATCATCTGGAAATTATCTGCCTTTAAAAACAGCACACGTTTTGTGAAGGCCTATGTATTTTTAGCCCTTGATGCAGCTGATGGTGAACAGCACGGATAAAATAAGAAAAAGCAACATCGGTTTGAGTGTGCTTGTGCTTCCCAAAGCTATTTCTAACCAAAAAAAGATGGTGTGAAAATATTTTCAAATTTGGCTAACAGTTTGCTATTTAAAACACAATCCATATGAGACTCTTTGTGAGCAGAGGCAGGTTTGTCATGAACACACTTTAAAACAGAAGACCACTGCCTGTAGGCATTACACGCTTTTCATTTGTTTTTTAATAACAGTATCCAAAAATACTTTCTGAGGCACCAAAAGAGTGAACAGACAGACTTTTGAATTTCTCTGGCTCGTACTGGGGGCTGCTTTCTTCACCCCAAACAAAACAGCGGGAATAGCTTTGCAAGTAAACAAAGCAGATCTACTTAAAAGGCCCATTTCTGAGCAGAGTATTTCAAAAGTTTCGACCAGCTTCTGGTGCAGGGGAGGCCGAGGCTCCTTCCCCTCCGGACAGCCCTTTCCTGCAGGCGCCACCACGGCAGCCGGCGCAGGGCAGCGGCACCACGCAGGCGCCACGGAGGAGCCGCGGGCTCCACGCAGGCAGGCAGCAGCCTCCCCGCAGAGCTCCGAGCCTCAGTTTGCAGAAAGACTCTGAACCGAGTCCCCAGTCGCTCCCGGCGTGCCTGGCAGCTCGGGCGGGCACCAGGCTTCCGAGCGCCATATGCTGAAGCAGAGCGCAGGCTCCACGCGGGTAATTAAAATGAATCGCTCGGCGGCCCAGGGCCTGACCACGCGCCCAGGAGTGTCGTACCCAGACCCCGCTGCCCAGCTCCGCGGGGGGAACCCTCTGCTCCCCGCTCCGGAACCACCAAGACGTTCCCCCGCGGTAGCGGAATGACCGAGGCTGCGCGTGGGGCTGAGTGACTCGGGAGCCGGGAGCGCCCGTTCGGGCGCTGCCGCCAGCCCCGGGGGGCCGGGACAGGGGCTGTCACCGGGGCACGTGGAAACGACGGCCCACGGCCCCCCGCCACGGCCGCTTGCGGGCACACGGGGCATTTCATCGCTGCCAGCCGGCCGCGCCGAGGACAGCAGCCCTCTCCAAGGAGACTGTTCCACTGCAAGACCCCCAGACGGAGGGCAGTAACTGCGAGAAGATCAGCTCCCCCCTTCCCCCTTCCCTTTTTTACAAGTATGACATTGCAGGGAAAAATGGGAAACAAAGCCTAATTTATTTTAAATTAATACAAACTTTGGCCAGGATCAATATAACTTATACCTACTAAGTTGATTGCATAATGCATTTTCCTTATGCGTTCTGAAAGCCAAATCATTTTGCATTGTAGAAGACAAAAAAAAAAAAGTCTGCCATTGAAAAGCAAGAAAATCCCAATTACAAAGTCCCCAAGTTCCTAAACACATATCGTGAAAGTATGTGCAGCTCTGCGGCATATGGCAAATCAATTACTAGTTTAAATTTTAAAACAAAAACATGGTAAATGTGTTGCAGAAATAATCAAGAACAACGGTTTGGTTTAGATTACAGTGGCCACTAGAGTTTTGAATACAATTAATCATCATTCCAGGCAATGGGAAGCCATATTGACACTTATTCCTAATTTGAATATTTAATTAGGGTGAAGTTCTTCATCAAATTATCACAGAACTGGGAGGAAAGCCTAAAAGATTTAAACAATTACTACTTTAACCCTTCACCAACTGCTCACCTGCGAGCACAAGAATCTCTTCCCCGCTGCCCGGAGTAAGAACGCGCTGGGCGACGGGAAAAGGATTGAAGAGAGACAACGGCCAGCGGGGGGGCCGGGCGACCCGCCGGGCACCGGCTGCTGCCTGCGCTCCTCTGCCCTCGGCCCAGCAGAGCTTTCGGGCCACATCTTTATCTAGGGCTTTTGTGTTTTGCTGGGTTTGGTTTGGGTTTGTTTGTTTTTTTTTTTTTCCACACTGCAGAGCTGCCCAGCCTCCCCCATCGGGTCCCTGTGCCGAGGGGCACAGCAGCTGCCGCCCACCCCGCGTGGGGGGGTCCCAGCCCCTGCCCTGCACCCGTGGGACGGGGCCGGAGCCCGAAGCTGCCCCGGACCCACCGCAGCTCCCGCCAGGCCGCGGGCACGGCTCTGCCTCCGATCGCTCAAACACCCCTTCATGTGCCGTATTAATCCATATAAGAGAATCTCTTTTAATGAGGAGTGATATAGTTATGAACTCTCTAGAGCCATAATTAGAGCAAACTAATTGAAGTTGTGTTTTGACACACTTTCCAAATTCACGGGTACTGCATGACATATTCACAACACTACTGCTGCACAGCCATGGTGACAGCAAAATCATTAGGCTAATAACGCTTATTTGCATTCTTATCATGCCAGCAGCACGCCGTTAAATACTGCCTCAACCAGCGCTCGTTTACTCTGAAAGTTTCCACTGAAAGATATTAACAGTAATTATTAGTACTTTAGTGGAATCTCTAATGTTAAGGAATGGCAACTCCCATTAACTATCCCCATGCCAATTATTTTCCTTTTGAACCATCACAAAACGCCGTTTTCTCCCTCCGCGGCGAGGGAGGCGCCAAGACGGCTCTGGCGCTGCCGGGAAGGACAGACAGACGCCTGCCCCGGCCGGGCTCCAGCCGCGCTCTCCAACGCCAAAGTCAAATCCATGCTGCTCCAGCACGGGTTAAACAGGAAAAATATCTCTCCCCAGCATACAATAATTTCCAGGATGAAACTACTGCAACAGCACAGTTCAGGGCAGGGCAGATTTAATTACTCTCTTAACTTCAGCTTTTCTTTCAGTCACTAAATCCATGGAACAATACAAACAGCAGCAAGGGAAGCAGCACGTGATGAGAGACCCTTCACGTGCTCGCAAAGGCGCTTTGAGGTCTGTGCACATTATGGTCACTTTTGGAATGTTTTTGGAGAGAAACTCGTATAAAACAGGCCCAGGAATGCCCGACGGTTCCAAATCAGTTATTAATAACTGTCTGCAGGAAGGTGATGAACTGCTTTTGAAGTCAGGGGGAAAGTACTCATAAAAGGTAACAGAGGATCGTAAGGGGAAACGCCAGATATCAAAGGGTGCTTCGTAATTCATATAAAAATATCAACAATGCACAGCAGAAGAGCAATGCTAAATTCTCACTTTCCAGCTGGGCTAGATGACTGGTGGAGAAATCAGGCAAAAGTTCTAAGAACCGCCCCACGTTACCAGATACATTAGAAACCACCCTGCATGCTGCAGGCTGGAGTTGTCCTGGTCCACCATCGCGACCGCAATTTGCTTTAAACCAACTTAAGGACAGTGCCGCAGAAAGGGCAGTCTCATAGGAACCTTCAAATCAAAACAATCGTATCTTCCGTAATCAATGGATTACGGAAGGATCACGCCTCATGAAAAACTGAGGACAGAACAATTAAACTCCAAGCTGTGAAAACACGCCTACAAGAAGTTAATACCAGGCTGGAGCTCTCAAGAAACATAAACCACCTTGAAAGCTTTGCCTGCGGAGCGAGGAAACAGCCCATTTCTAAGAAAGAGCTGACAGACAGCAGAGGACCTCGCAGCAACCGCTCACCCAGCGGAATGCATTTTCCAAACTGCAGCTCACAGACGACACCACGGCAGATATCGTCGGCTCTGGCCGTGTCCAGAACCCCATCTACAGTATTTATTCACAGTCCTTAACTTTTACTGTGCTCAGGCACTGCGATGCCAGAACACCTACCTCATACTCCAAAGAACTGCAATGAAAAACAAAACTGTGAGGCAAGAATCACCTCGGGTAATGGACTTCATTCCAGACAATCTATTCTAATCGTGTAAACCAAATATTTAAATACTTTCTAAAACCTCCCTGACCCTTTCCCTAAAACAAGCAACATATGGGCTTTGCAAGCATTTCATCTCATTCCAAGCTACTAAAATATCCTGC